GCCTGAAGCGCTGGCATCCCATATAGGCGCTGGTTCAAAACCCGGCTACTCCACTTCCGATCCAGCTCTCTGCTGTGCCTGGGAAAGCAGTAGAAGATGGCCCAAGTCCTTGGGCCCCTGCACCCACGTGGGAGACCCGGAAGAAGCTCCTGGCTCCTGGCTTCAGATCAGCGCAGCTCCGGCTGTTGCAGCCAGTTGGGGAGTGAACCATCAGATGGAAGACCTCTCTCTCTCTCTCTGCCCTCTATGTAACTCTTTCAAATAAAATAAATAAATCTTAAAAAAAAAAAAAAAAAAGACCCAGTCATGTGGATAGCCCCCAAATGTCATTCACAGGTTTTTGGTTTTTAATTCAGGCTCCAGGTATATATACTGTGTGTGGTTATCTCCCTTTAGCCTCTTCTAGAATTTTCTCTCCATCCCTGCCTTTGTCTTTTTTGACACTGACTTTTTGGACAGTCCAGGTGAATTGTCTCGGAGAAGTCCCACAGTCTGGTGTGTTCCTTTGTGTGTTTCCTGTAAGCCTGGAGTTGGTCCGAAGGCCTGAATGAGTTTGGGTCTGAGTGTTTTTGATGAGCCCCCTACCTGGTGGTACCACATGTACCATGCCGGCTTGTTCTGCTCTTGGTGTTGTTCATCGCCCTCTCTGTCAGCCCTTCTGGAGCTGCCTGGGTGGCCGGGGAAGCTCAGCACCGGGTAGCGGTTGCTCCGGTCTGGGGCCTCTGCCTCTCCCCAGCCCGTGCTGAGTGCGCTTGCTCACCTGAACATTGTGAGCTTAGCCCTTGGCTCAGCCAGTTAGGAGGCCTTTCCCCAGGCTCCTGCCTCCGGATCCCTGCCTCACTCTAAGGATAAGCGGGATGTCAAGAGCCCCTGCCCCGTCCCCTCACCGCCGAGGCTCAGATGCCAGTGTGAGCAGAGACCTCCAGGAGCCGCAGAGGGAGCCTGGCCACTTGACAAATCTAGTCTTAGGATCCCGCCTGCAACACAGCCTGTCTGTCCCGAGAGTGGGCACGTGGCCCAGGACTTTATATCTACCATCCAGTCACTTTTCCATCCGGTCCTGTGTGGTGGTTACTATTCTTTTTTTTTTTTTTTTCTTATAGACAGAGTGGACAGTGAGAGAGAGAGAGAGAAAGGTCTTCCTTTGCCGTTGGTTCACCCTCCAATGGCCGCCGCGGCCGGCGCGCTGCGGCCGGCGCACCGCGCTGATCCGATGGCAGGAGCCAGGAGCCAGGTGCTTTTCCTGGTCTCCCATGGGGTGCAGGGCCCAAGCACCTGGGCCATCCTCCACTGCACTCCCTGGCCACAGCAGAGAGCTGGCCTGGAAGAGGGGCAACCGGGACAGAAGCCGGCGCCCCGACCGGGACTAGAACCCGGTGTGCCGGCACCGCTAGGCGGAGGATTAGCCTAGTGAGCCGCGGCGCCAGCTGGTTACTATTCTTTTGCCTTAAAAAAAATATTCAAGGCAGAGAGACATTGCATCCACTGGGGCACTCCACAAATGCCCACAACAGCCGGGGCTGGGCCAGGCTGAAGCCAGGAGCCTGGAGCTCATTGTTGGTCTCCCACATGGGTGGCAGGGACTCCGGTCCTGCAGCTTATCTCCTGCTGCCTCCCATGGTGAGCAGAGCTGGGACTCGAACCCAGAGACTCTCATATGGGAAGTGGGCGTCCCAGTCAGCGTCCCAGCTGTTGCCCCAGGCTGCTATTCCTTTTTAGCCCCAAATTGCAGGTGAGGAAGTGGGCTTCTAGGATACATACTGCACACCTGACTGCCGGCTGAAGAGCACAGGGGAGCCCGAGCGGCTTGGCAGGTGCGGCTCGGCCGGCAGGGGCCGCTGTTGCCGCCGTGGAAGGGCTAGGCCCACCCCCAGCTCCTGTTGCCACCCAGCCGGCTGTGGGGAGGGAGCGCTTCATCTTAGCTCTGTGAGAGACGAAGCTGTCAGCCTGTGTCGCTCAGAGTTTCTTCATCATAGTCATGCCAGTCACGGGGGGTGCTATGTCGGGGGTGAAGGCCTTGTACCCCCATTTCTGCAGACGAAGAGGCAGCGTGAGCAGCCTGGGTGACCAGGCCCAGGGAGCCTTCCCCAGCACCAGGCCCCATCACATGGGCACCTCTGCCCTTGCAGCCCCCGTCTCTGCTGAGCTGGGGGTGAGACAGGGGTCATGGGGGAGGCAGGTGTCGCTGAGTCATTCCGCCGGCCCTCCTGGCAGCCAAGCTGTGGTGAGCGAGGGCCACCAAACTGCTCATGCCACAGCTGTATATCACATAGTCCGCTTGACTCATCCGTGCTTGGCCCCCTTTGTAGGGACACCATCTGTGCATACTGGGCCAGCGCCCAGGGAACCTTCTGGAAGCCCAGCTGCTGTGTGAGGGTACGGAGGGGTGGTGAAGTTTAAGCTTGAAACCGTGCACCAGGTGTTGTCTGACTGCTGTTTCTGGCCTGTGATCCCTCAAGGCCTTGGTCACCAGGTCTACAAAGTGGGAACAGCACATCAGGGCTAAGTGAGATCAAGCGGGGATTAGGTGACAGGTAGGGACATGCCCAGCTCTATGTGTTTTCACTCATCATCCTGTTCCCAGCACCCCAGCACCCCAGCACAGGGCTGGTACACAGTAGGTCTTTAGTACAGGGTGAATGAATGAGTGAATTGATCCTTAGAGCAGAGGCCCTGGGCATGGGGGCTGTGTTATGATGAGGGTGGGGACCCTGAAGCCCAGCCAAGTTCCCTGTGCCCACCTTTTATTGCCTGAAGGACGGGGAGAGGTATTTGCTTAGTTCCCATGATCTCTGCACCTGTCCCAAGGGCCAAGGGTGATGATAAAAGTATTCCCTTGGAGGTTTACTTTTCTCCCTGTATTTCTTAGTATTTCTGCCTTATAACAACTCCCAGGAAGACGTCTCTGACCTATCCAGGAGGACACAGCCTCAGCCAGGATGAATGGACATCCTGAAACAGCTGGCAGGGGGGCAGAGCAGGGGTGTGGCGCTCGGGCTGTCCTAGGTGAGCGCAGCCTATTCCTCATGGGCATGCAAGTTCAAAAGCTCAGAGTTAGGAGGACCTGGGGGTGGGAGTGGGGGCATCTCAAGGTCGTGTGCTGGTGTTGGTCCCGAGGGTTCCTGGCCATACCAAGGCTCATGCTGAGCGGCTCTGGCTCGTGGGGCAGCCAGCAGAATGCCTGGGGTCTGAGTGGCTCTTTGTGGATGCAGTTCCCTTGGCAATGAAGAAACACTACTGTGGTGCCGAGCTCAGATTCCCAGAGGGGAAACCCCACCCTGTTTCCCTGCAGGACCCTTTGCTGGGAAAGGCCACAGCACCCTGTTACACCACCCTCTGCCGGACACCAAGGGGCTCTTTCCAGGGGCACAGCTGCGTGTGTTGGCGGGGAGGATGGCACAGTATTAGCAGCCCAGCCAGGATTCCTGATGGGAAGCGCTGTGTGCCGGCTCTTCAGGCTCCCGTCCTCTGACAGGTGGCTGGGCTGTCATTCTCTCTTCCCACGGGACTTCATCCAGGAAGCCAGCGGCAGCATGGGGCTGTCCAGATCTCCAAGTTCCCTCCCCCATGTGGAAGGCACAATTGGGCAGACCACCCCTTGGCCCAGCTCTTATCTATTTTGGGGACCTCGTAAGAGGGCCCTCTAACCTTTACTAACCAGGCCATTGTCATTCCAAGGCCATCGTAGGTGTTGCTAAGGAAACTGATGCAACAGCCTGAGAGCCTGGACCAGGTCTCCATGACAACCTGTGACAGCTCACCAGGGTCTATCTGTGATGTCACCTGAGTCCCGAGTGGGTGCCCTCCCACTGCCGGCATACTCATCACAAACATCAGAATCCAATGGCAGTTTCCTGCCACAAAACACTTCAGCCTGTCTGTCCCCAGTGCTCACCCCAGAGATGAGCGCCTTGTGGGGCGGGACGGCTCCTGAAGCCCAGGTTATAGCTGAGCCCTCTGAGGACGGGAGAGGAGAGACTCGGCAGGCTGGAGGCAGAGCCTGCACTGGAAACCAAGCTCTCCCCTCCGCCTCCGCCCTCTGTGCCCTGGTGCCCACCCTCGGTCTGATGTGGAGGGGGACTCTGGGCAGTGCTGGCACCAAGTGGCAGCCCACTCCTGACTCTGTTCACACCCCTCCTGGGTAGGAGCCTGGACCTCCAGGCCCTGGCTGTGCCCTGCACGGCAGGCTGCCTGGGGGACTGGAGAGATGGAGGGAGGTCTTGAAGACTGTGGTGGCTGGCCCTGCTGGCATCCCAACCGCATCGGCCTGGGTTTCCCCAGCATGGGGCAGCCTCCAGCCCAGGAGCGGAGTGACCAGGAGCAGGGTCATGGCCAGGGGCAGATATTTTTAGCAGAGTTGCTGGCAGCTGCTTGGGGGGTGCTGGGAGGGAGGAGCAGAGGCTGAATCCATCCTTTTCCCTTCTCCGGCAGTGTCTCCACCCCAGGTTTCAGAGCCCACACCTCGGCTGCAGAACATGGCCCCAGGGTGGCCTGCTCCCCACCCAGCCCTCACCCAGAAAGGCAGGCTCCTGAGGGAGAACTTCCGCCTCCCAGGACAGGGAGGGAGGGGAAAGGACTTGGTGTCCAAGCTAGCCCTCGATTCTGCTCCGATCTGAGTGATCCGTGGGGAGTGACTGTGCGCCCCCATAACTGCTCTACTTGCTTGGACCATGAGCCAGGACCAGGAGAGAAGGAGACCTCACTCTGAAAGGGCCAGACCTAAATCTTCCCCAGTGGGGAGCTGCCGCACTGGACACAGCTGGTCCAGTTCCCCCTGGCCCGTCCCCTCCCATCGTGCCCCAACACAGTCCCTCTCTTTCTCCCTCCTCCCTTCTCCCCCTCGCTCCCCCTCTCAAACACAATCACACCAAGCCCCGGCAGCTCTCCGCCCCGCCCCTGGAGGGCGGGGGGGGGGGGGGCTCAGTGTGAGGTCCCAGGAGGAGGGTGGGGATTCCCCGGGCGGGGGTGGACACGTCAGCCCCCGCAGCGGCGTGGGCCGGAGGCGGGGGCGGGCAGAGGCTTAAATAAGAGGCTTCGGAACCAGCCAAGCTGAAACGGCGGCGGCCGCAGGGGCGGGTGGAGTGCTTGTGTGTGTCCGATCCCGGGTGTGCGAGGGGGTTGTATTGGAGCCCGGATCCCAGTCCTGACTGTGTCTGTGAGCGCGTGGGTGAGTGTCCTGACAGCGCGGGGTGGCCACTCCGTCTGGGTTGCGGATGGGCCGCGGGTTAGGGCTCCAGGATCCTCGTGGCGGGGAGTGGACTGTGGCGGGTCCTGGGCGCCGAGCCGCTTGCCCGACTCGAGGTTGGGCAGGGGCAGCTCGGGCCTCATCTCCCGCGCGGCTTATGTTGCCGTCCCGCTTCTCCGTCCCCCAGACGGCGTCGGACGCGATGACCCTGAACGGCGGCGGCGGCGGCGGCGGCGCGGGCGGGAGCCGCGGCGGGGGCCGAGAGCGCGAGCGCCGTCGGGGCAGCACGCCCTGGGGCCCGGCGCCGCCGCTGCATCGCCGGAGCATGCCGGTGGACGAGCGCGACCTGCAGGCGGCGCTGGCTCCCGGCGCCCTGGCGGCCACTGCGGCCGGGGCGGCGACCCAGGGTCCGAGGCTGGACTGGCCCGAGGGCTCCTCCGACTCGCTCAGCTCGGGGGGCAGCAGCTCGGACGACAGCGTGTACAAGGTGCTTTTGCTGGGGGCGCCTGGCGTGGGCAAGAGCGCTCTGGCGCGCATCTTCGGCGGAGTGGAGGACGGGCCTGAAGCAGAGGCTGCAGGTGAGGGGATGGGGTCACCCAGGCGAGGGGGCATTCCCAGGGTCGTGACAGACGGCGCGTGGGGCGTGGGGGTGGTCTGGGGCCGGGGACCTGGACCGGAGGTGGCAAATACCGCGGAACTCTGCCTTTAGAATCATGCCTCTAGCCACTCTTTTTCAAGGAGGCGAAACTAAGGGAGAAGAGAACACCTTTGGCAGGGGACGAAATACCTGCGGCGAGGGCCCCAGGGTGTGGATGCTGCAGCTCTGTGGCAAAGGCTGGGCCATCCCTCCTTGCCAGGCTGCCAGGAAGAAAACCAGAGGGAGTTTGGAGGTGGCCAAGGCCCTCAGGGGGTGTTACAGTCACTCTTGTAACTCAGCTGCTGTGGTCAGAGCCCGCGGGGTGAGGCAGCAGTGCAGGGAGCACCCCAGCCAGGACAGGGCCTACCTGGGGGCATGTCGCTGGAGGTCATGGGTGCAGTGCCCTCCATCCCCCAGCTCCCAGCCCTGTCACCCAGCAGTGGTTTGCAAGCGGAGGGGGAGGGGCCCCTTAGGGGGAGTTGGAAGGTGTGGCCTGAGCAGGAACCCCCCCACTGTGGGGAGGGCTCTTGCGAGTCAGGTGGTAACCTGGCTGCTGACCTTCTGCCTAGGGCACACGTATGATCGCTCCATCATGGTGGACGGAGAAGAGGCGTCACTCATGGTCTACGACATTTGGGAGCAGGTAGGATACAGGCTGAGACCCAGGGTGGGGTGGCAGGGGCCTGCTGGGAGTGACGGGCTCGTGGCAGGGGCGTGAAGTCCTGGGAACCACGTGTGAGTGTGTGTGTGTGTTCTTCAGGATGGGGGCCGCTGGCTGCCCGGCCACTGCATGGCCATGGGGGACGCGTATGTCATTGTGTACTCCGTGACCGATAAGGGTAGCTTCGAGAAGGCGTCAGAGCTGCGGGTGCAGCTGCGGCGGGCGCGGCAGACGGACGACGTGCCCATCATCCTCGTGGGCAACAAGAGCGACCTGGTGCGCTCTCGCGAGGTCTCCGTGGACGGTGAGCAGGCAGCAGGTCGGAAGGGGAGGGAGGTGCTGTCCTGGGCTGTGACCCAGTCCATCTTGGCTCAGCTTGAGTGTCCGGGGATCATCAGTGACTAAAAATGTCCAGGAAGAAAACCTGGAGGGGCGGGAGGGCCGGGCAGGGGAGAGCTGCTGCCCACCCACAGGGCTGCGGGAGGCGGGACAGGACTAGAGGGAGAGCCCAACTTGCTGGGGGCGCAGGTGCCACTCAGGCCTCTCCTCGCCGGCCCCTTTAGCCCTGGCCTCACGGGTGGGCTGGGAATGCGTAGAAGGCAGTGCAGGGCACCAAGCCCGCAGGTCGGAGCCTGGATGCCAGACCCGGGCCGGTCTTGGAGTAGGCTTGACCCTGTAGCCCCCAGGACCCAGACCCTCAGAGGAGCCCAGTGGTTCCTCCTCACCCATGGCTTGGCCGTGTTGCCCCCAGGCCCCCGTCCAGGGAGCCGTCACTTCATAGACCACCATCGTGTTACGATGTCCAGTGGTAAAACGCTTAGCGCTCCAACACTGTTCGGGTTTTCTTGTGTTTGCGACCGCTGCACTTCCCTTTAAATATTAGACTCCAGGTTGCTGCAGCACATTAACCAGGGGTGGGGACCCCTGATTTGGGGACTGCTTAAATGTGGGCACACTCTGTCTGTGGGGTGGCCCTCGGCCTGAGTCTCTGGGTTCTCTGTGCCTCTCGGGAAGACCCCGGCACTCCCTGCCCTTGCCTGCAGACTCTGAAGTAACAGCTGCCAAGGGCAGCCGGGGTCCAAACGGGCTCCGGAGCCACCCTACCCAACTCTGCTGACTGGCACGTGTCTGTCCCCACCCACACCAGAGGGCAGGGCCTGCGCCGTGGTCTTCGACTGCAAGTTCATCGAGACGTCGGCCGCTCTGCACCACAACGTCCAGGCCCTGTTCGAGGGCATCGTGCGTCAGATCCGGCTGCGCAGAGACAGCAAGGAGGCCAACGCCCGGCGGCAGGCAGGTGCCCGGCGGCGGGAGAGCCTCGGCAAGAAGGCCAAGCGCTTCCTGGGCCGCATCGTGGCGCGCAACAGCCGCAAGATGGCCTTCCGCGCCAAGTCCAAGTCCTGCCACGACCTGTCGGTTCTCTAGGCCCCATGGGCTGTCACCGCGGCGGGCGGATGGATGGACGAGTTGTGGTGGGCTGGCCCAGCCGGCTGCCCTAAGTGCCTCAGGACTGGCTCAGATTCTAGGACCCTCGGAGCTGCCAGCAGGCCATCCCTCACCTCATGTCATGGACAGACAGACGGACAGTGCTACCCCGGGGAGGCAGCTCCCAGTGGCTGGTGAGGGCTGGGCCCGCGGAGATGCACGTGCAGGCCCACGTGCAGCCCGAGCCGCAGCCTGCCCAGCCGCAGGGCCGGCCTGTGTGTGGGGAGAGGCCTCGGCCTTTTTCTCACCGTGGCGGGAGCTGTTGGGTGTGCTGGCTATTTGTTTACATGAGATTTTTTTTTGTAATAAAGATTATTTCCTGATAGGTCACGGCTGTCAATTCTGTGTTGACCTCGAATCCAGGGGCTTCAGGAGCAGGAACTGAGGGATGGAGGCTCTCTGCCCCGCCCTAACATGAGGCTTTGGCCGTCCTTGTATTTGGGTCCAGATACAGCCGGCCGGACCCAGGGGTGGTTGGGGAGTGGGGCCTGGATGGGGAGACCCAGCCCCTCCTAGCCCCTGTCATCCAGATCCTGCTTTACTTGGGCCTGATGTCTCCCAGTGGATGAAGGCTTCGGTCACTTCACTGTAGAGTTCGGCCTCGGGCCACGTGGATGCAGGTGACATCACTTCTCTGGCTCTGCCAAAGCAGCCACAGGAGGGACTCAAAATCCAATCAATCTGTAGCAGGCTGATCTTGAAGTTGGTCATTTTGTATGGCCTGCAGATGATGTTATAAATACCCAAATGGGGGCTGGCGCTATGGTGTAGCAGGTTGGACGGCCGCCTGCAGCGCCAGCATCCCATATGGGCACCGGTTCGAGACCCAGCTGCTGCACTCCCTGTTCAGCTGTCTGCTGTGGCCTGGGAGAGCAGTAGAAGATGGCTCAAGTGCTTGGGCCCTTGCACCTGTGTGGGAGACCTGGAAGAAGCTCCTGGCTCCTGGCTTCAGATCGGCGCAGCTCCAGCCATTGCGGCCAATTGGGGAGTGAGCCATTGGATGGAAGTCCTCTCTCTCTCTCGCCCTCTCTCTCTCTGCCTCTCCTCTCTCTCTATAACACTGACTTTCAAATAAATAAATATTTTTAAAAATACCCAAATGGCCCTTGACAGAAAAAAGATTCCTCACTCCTGCTTTACATAAAGGGAAACTGAGGCTGCCCAGCAGAGCGCGCCCTGCCTTGGTTCTCACACCCAGTCAAGAGCCCTGGGCATGGCTCCAGGGCTGGTGCCTCTGCCCTGCTCTTTCCCCAGGGGCTAGGGGATGGGGGAGGCTTTGGAGACTTCCAGGCAGGACAGGAGGCAGCAGGTCAGCGGGAGAGGGTGAGGAGGGATGAGGGTGCCCTCTCGGGTGGGCGTGACCCCGGGGGCCTCCTCCACCTTCCCGCTGAGGGGGCAGAGGGAGCTCTCAGCTTCTTACCACTGTGAGTGCAAGGCCAGGACATCCAGAGCTGAGCCGCCACATCCCATAGCTAATGTGGATTTGTGAGAGTGAGTGTCTGTGCGCGCCTGGTGGGAGGTGTGCCTGTCTCCCCAGCCACGCCCAGGAAAGGCAGCAGCACGGGTGCCTGCGAGCGAGCTCACCCACAGTAATCCTCCCTGATCCCTGATTTCATGTTCCATGCATTCAGTTACCCGTGACTGGCCACAGTCTGAAAATATTACATGGAAAATTCCAGAAGTCATTCGTACCTTGTAAGTGGAGTGCTATTCTGAGTCATGTGACGAGATCTCGCGCTGTCCTGCTCTGTCCCTCCCTGAACGGGAATCAGCCCTGTGTGCAGTGGATCCACGCTGTACGTGCTACCCTCCTGGTAGTCACTTGGTAACCGTCTCACAGTGTCTATGTTCCAGCCGCCCCTGTCTCCCTTCCTAGTGGCCCCACAGCCCAGGAGGACTCAGGTTGGTGATTCGTATGTGTCAAGAGAGGCAGTGATGGCTTCCTTTCATTGAAAAAGTGAACTACATCAGAGGCGCACGCATACAGGAAAGCACATGGTATTTATAGGGTCGGGCACTCTCCGTGGTCTCTGTACCCACTGGGGTTCTTGGGACATACCCTCCGAGGATGGAGGGGACTGCTGTGCATGGCTTTGGTCCCCGTTTAGTGACAGGTGGGAAGTGGCTGAGTGAGGACTGCCCACTATGAAGACTAGAGGCAGCACAGGGCCAGGGAGGGTTCAGGCCAAGACCCAGACACACATTCATTCCATTTATTCGTTCTGCAGCCCCCTAGGAGCCCTCGCAACCTGAACCCTGATTGCAGCTCCACCCACGGCCAACCGCAGGGGTGCGGGCTGATCCTCCGTGTGTGGGTCTGGGTCGGGGCAGGTGCCTCTGAGACACCCACCCGCCCCCCAGAGGTTGCTGCTGCCACCACCCCAACATACTCTGTAGAGGGGGCGGTGCTCTCAGAGCAGGGGGAGGTCCCCAAGGGCCTTCCTGGCTCTGTCACTTAATTGGCTGTGTGACTCCCAGCAAACCACTGAGCCTCTCTGTGCCCCCAGGGTGTGAGGAAATGGAACACAGAAGATACGTGCTTGGAGCAGTGCCCGGTGCACGGCGGGAGCCCAACACACACAACAGCCCTGCCACCCCCGCCGCTGCACGGCTCCAGGCTGGGGCCACTGAGGGGTACTGGCCCAGCCTCCAGCCTGAGACACACACACACAAGCTGGCTTTGAGGCAGGGGCCTGTGGAGTGAATAAAGAACTCACGAAGGAACGTGAACCTTGGCCTGGAGCCTTCGCAGGAACGTTACCCACACACACACACGCCCCCAACCAGCAGAGGGAAGGACCTGGGGAGGCCATGGGACGCTCCAAGCACGGAGAGGGACTGGAGATCAGGACCCCACCCCCTCCCCTTGTCTTGGACTCCCAGCCCCAGAAGCTGCTCCCGGGTCTGCCTGGCTGCCTGCACTGCGGGGAAGCCCCGGCCGGCCCTGCAGCTCTCTCAAGGTCACCTGAGCTGGCTCACTCCTCTCGGCGGCACGAGGCAGCCCAGCATCCCAGCGCTGTGAGTGTGCAGGGGCCAGGGTGAGGCCTTGGGAAGCTCACGGGCTGCTGTCCCCTCAACCCTGCAGTCCCATCTGGGGATAATCTGGAGTCCCTCATACCCAGTCCCGGTCACCACTGCTCGCCCACGGGGGGCTTCCTGGGATGGGATTATTTGAGCTGAGCAGATGAAGAAGCTGGAAGGGCATTCCAGGTCAAAGGAACAGAGTGTGCAAAGGTGCAGCGGTGGGTGCCGGTGCACAGGGGAGACATGGGACAGAGTCTGGAGCCACAGAGAAGTTGTGTTCAAGCCCAGAGGGCTAAGGAGTACCCACTGGGCCGTGGCAGGGGCTGGGGAGTGCCTGGAGAATGATCTGCCCACCTCCCAGGGCTGGCAGTCACGGACGCTGGGCAGCAGCGCCTCGCTCTCCAGAGTCAATGAGTAACTGGGGGCCTGGGCGGGGCCAGGCCCGCTGCTGTGGGCCCAGTGGCATTTTGCCACCCGTGAGCTAGCGTGGCCAGACCGCCTACCCTGCTCAAGTGTCCACCTTGGCGAACCCCACCTGGCCTGGCCTGGCCAGAGCTCCCTGGAGAAGGAGCCCTGTCCCCTGGCAGCTGGACCGAGGGAGCCCGCCTTTGGCAGGAGTGGGTGAGGGGCTGGCAGCAGAGCGGGGAGGGCCGAGGCTGGGGTTGGTGGGCAGGAAGAGAAACGCCACCCTGTCTTCCCGCGGTCTGGGAAGAACTCCCAGGGACCCTTCTTGGACTGGAGTCCACACTCCGGGGGCCCGGGCTCCACGTCCAGGGGGTGGCAGTGGGAGGCAGGACAGCCCCGGGCACCCTGAGCCAAGAGTCCTCTACAACAAGCAGACTCCTCCTGGGCGCGAGTCCTCCATGACCTTGGCCGGGCCCTGCCCTTCAGGCCTTGCCTGTAACAGGAAGTGACCCTCAGAGTCGTCTTCTCGGCGTCAAGCTTGTGAGGCTTGGGGGGGCCGCTGAGAAGTCACCACTTGGGGTGTCTTTGCTGCTGAGGCTGTGGTGGGACGAAGACCAAGGTCTGGTGGCGAAACTCCTGGGAGGGGCCTTGCAAGAGCGGGGCCGAGGCACAGGGCAGCTGGCCTGGAGCTGCAGGTGCCCCGGGAGCCCCAGGGCCTTCATGGCGGTGGGGGTGGGAGGAGGGGAGGCCGCTCTACAGCGAGCCCCTCTGGCTGTGTGGGTGGGATGGAAATGGCTGGATCCTCACCGCCGTGTCCCTCAGGCCCGTCCTGACCATGGTCCCCGCCTGGCTGTGGTTGCTCTGCTTCTCTGTCCCTCAGGTGAGCTGAGCCCTGCCCGCTTCCTCCAGACCATGGCCTTGGCACCCCCGCCCCCAGCTCCACCAGACCAGTTGCCCTGACCACTGCAGTACTGGGGGGGAGTGGGGGTTCAGACTGCGTCACGGGCCTGTTATGGGCACGGAAAGTCAAAGGTCAGAGTGTGGAGGGAGCAAGGTAGGGCCAGGCCTGGGGAAGGGACAGAAATCCCGGCAGCCACACAGAAAGGCGGGCTCTGGTGACAAAGCGGGGCTCCTCTCCCAGGCCCTCGTGGAGGTGTCGCCTACCACGCTGCACGTGGAAGTCCCGGAAAACTACGGCGGAAATTTCCCTCTGTACCTGACCAAGGTGAGCACCCCCAGGACCCCTCGTCCCCTCTTGCTCAGGCTGCTTTCTCCACAGCGCCTGGGAGAGGGAGGGGGACTGCCAGGAGCTGATCCCGGGGCTTCACAGTATAGCACGCGATCTCGTTGGCGAGTTTCCTGGGGAGTGCCGGGGGCAGGGCCGAGAGCTCTGGCTTTGCAGCCCAGCCCTGTGTCTCACCTCTGCATAACATCAGACGAAGGCCTGCCCTCCCTGAGACTCAAATGGGGGCCCTGGTGGAGGAGGCCTCCCCCAGGCCCAGCATCCGCTTCCTATCCCACCAGCTGCCGTGGCCCCACAAGGAGGCTGGAGGCCGGGTGGTGCTGTCGGGTGACTCGGGCGTGGCAGCCGAGGGCCCCTTCTCTGTGGAGGCAGAGTCTGGCTTCCTGCTGGTGACCAGGGCCCTGGATCGAGAGGAACAGGCAGAGTACCAGATACAGGTAGGGCTGGGCCCGGCGCTGCGGAGAGCAGGCCAGGCACAGCCGGGCACTGACCGCCCTGTCCTGCCAGGTGACCCTGGAGGCTGAAGATGGGCATGTCCTCTGGGGTCCGCAGTCTGTGACGGTGCACGTGAAGGACGAGAATGACCAGGTGCCCCAGTTCTCCCAGGCCCTCTACAGCGCCCGGCTGAGCCAGGGCACCAGGCCTGGTGAGTG